AGCCTTGAGTGTCTGTAATTCATATAAGCCCTTCTCAAGGCAGCATTTTGGAGTCCAGAGAACAATACCCAATGTAGCCCCAAAGACAGGCTTGGAAAGCCTCCTTCCAGAAAATTTAATTTCATCATTGAGAAATCTTCTGTCTTAAGCAGCTTCCAACATGACTGCCATAAATTTACATATTCTGTGCTCAGGCTCGTCTAGAACAGGCCCTATTTGCATAATGAGGCTGCAGGGAGAGCTCCAGCTAGTCCTCAGCTCTGATGGAAGGGGAGAGGCAACTAGGGCTGAGCCCCCATACATGCTGGGAAAAAGCCCTTAAAATAATTTCCTTTGCAAAACTCATCCTCCAATGGAGCATTCCGGATTAAGTTCCTTAATCTTAGAATGATGGGGGGAGTGCATCTGCCTCCCAGGGTTATAATAAGGAACAAATGAGATTATATATACACATGTGTATATATAATCTCATATATATATATGTATATGTATTTATATGTGTGTATGTATGTGTGTTTATATACACATTTTGCAAATCTTTGAGTGTATCTAAAATGCCAGCTTGTTGCTATTATGATGCATTCCCTGAGGTAGGGCAGCAGGCTGGGACAGCTCCTGGTCCAGGGCTGGTTGGAGGGGCTAGGTCACCTGGGTTTCCAATGTGGATTGTCCTAAGTCTACAAATGGAAGATTTAAGTCAGATACCTTTCAGCTCTTAAATTGTGGGATTCTACACCTCTGTGGTTCAAGTATGAACTCTCTTTTTCACTGTTTGTTTCTCAACCTTTCTGAGCCTCAGTTTTTCATCTGTAAAATGAAAATAATCATAGCATCATCTATGGAGAGTTGGATGGGATCCGAGGGATCATCAGAGTCCAACCCCTTCATTTTGAAGACAAGGAAACTGAGGCGCAGATAAGATAAGTGATTTGCCCAGGGTTACATAGTTAGTAAGTGTCCAAAGTTGTATCTCAACCCAGTTCTTGTGGTTCCAGAGCATGTTCTCTTTGGGACCAAAAAGAACACATCTCACCTCTCCTCCACATGACAAACTTTTGAGCACTTGAAAACAGTCATCATGCTGTTATTAGTTCTTTTCTTCTCCAGATTCAGCATCTCCGCTTCCTTTAACTCATTCTCTCCTGGCATGTACTTGAGTCCCTTCACCATCCTGGTTACCCCTCTTTGTATTTTCTCAAGCTTATCAATGCCCTTCCTCTAATGTGGCACCCAGAGCTCGATGTCACACCACCAACCCTCAAACTAATCAGGACTATTGAGAGAATGTCTGAACACTTCTTTACACCACAGGGAGTAAGTACCAGCAAGGATATCTACAAACCCCGTTTTCCTTTCATGGAGCTGATTGCCTTTCAGTCAAGCATCCTCAGAGTCCAACATTCTTTATCTACATGACGGCGCTATTGGAGAAAAGTACTGTTCAAGCCTGAAAGCACCATGGAAATATTTCTTGTTTGTTCATTTATTTGTGTTTGTTATTGTCATCGCTTGTTCTGAATAACTACTCTGAACCTGTGCCATGTTGTTGTAGTATAGTCATTCAGTCTTGCTGACTCTCCATAGCATGCCAGGCCCTTCCATCCTCCACTATCTCCCAAAGTCTGTCCAAGCTCATGTTTGTTGCTTCCATGACACTCCATCCATCTCCTTCTCTGTCATCATCTTCTCCTTTTATTTTCAATCTTTCTCAACATCAAGGTCTTTTTTAATAAGTACCATCTTCTCAATATGTGGCCAGAGTATTTAAGCTTCAGCTTCAGTATTTGTACAATGGGCACACTTAATACCTGCACTACCTTCTTCACAGAGTCATTGCAAAAGAAGCCCTTTGAATATCTCATAGAGCTACATAGAAGTGGAAGTTAATGATATTAATCCTGAATCTCAATCTCTTTAGGTCTTCTAGAAGTTTCTTTCTGAAGAGAAGAGGGCTATTCAGCTCCTTTTGATTAAGATATTCCCAGCGCTTGTAACTGTTCCTGGTGTCTTTGTATATCAAGATGCATTGACCCAGAGAAGACAGGACACTTTGCAGGAATCAGTGTTTCCTCTTCGATCAATAAGTCTTGACATTCCCCTCAACAAAATCTATAGCTGATGGTTATTAATTACGTTTTGTTCTCTTTTAAGCCTCCTTTTGACCCCTTTGGTCAGGTAGAACTTCTCTCTTTGGTTTCCATGGAGTTTCCACTGGGCCATAGCAGATGGGGGCTGGGTGAGTTTCTGGCTTCAAAATTATCCTCTCCAGTGAATGATGTAAAAGGAATTATTGCTCTGGGTCTTCCTTTCCCTACCTGGATGAGAAAGAGTGATTAAAAGTGTGCTGGACCAGGTGTAAGAAGCTCTGGGATATAGCTTCATCTCTGCTGTACATTTTGAGGGGGCTAGGCAATGGGGTTAAGTGACTTGCTCAGGGTCACACAGCTAGTAAGTATCAAGTATCAGAGGTCAGATTTGAACTCAGGTCCTCCTGACTCCAGAGCTGGAACTCTATTCACTGCTCCACTTAGTTGCCTCCCTTTTTTTTGGTTTGTTTGGTTGTTTGTTCTTTTGCAAGACAGTCAGGGTTAAATGACTTGCCTGGGGTCACACAGCTAGTAAATGTCAAGTGTCTTGAGGCTAGATTTGAACTCAGGTGCTCCTGGCTGCAGGGTTGGTGCTCTATCCACTGTGCCACCTAGCTGCTCCTCTGCTGTACATTTTTGGTAGGACCATGGTCATCCCTGCTCCTTCTCTGAACACAGCTTGTTCACTTGTCCAATGAAGGAAGAGGATCCACATATGGGATGTTGATATTTTGTATGCACTATTCTAAGATGTGGCTGGTTCTCATAGTTATTTAGCTTCCTCTCTAGCCTGATGAATGAATAAAACATTTGTAAGTGTTTACTGGTGCAGAGCATTGTCTTAGGTTCTGTTGAGACAGATAGAAAAGGAAGATAGTCTCTGCTCTCCAGGAGCTCCCATTCTAATGTGGAAGTGGGTGGGGCAGACAACACATAGGGAAGGTTTCAGCTTCATATGAAATGGAAAAGTTCTATGGTACTTGGGGTGCAGTGGCAAAAAAAATCATCAATGCCTCTTTTGATGTTGAACTATCTAAAAGTGGGGACCATTTCAGTTGGGGGAGGATGAGAGGTACAGCTGGTGGTGATAACTATTCTGTAAGTGGGGTTCTGTGCAAGCAAATGAACAGAACTGAAGGCATCAAGGCCTTTATTAGATAGGAAGCATCCAATAGGCTTTCTGCTATGGTAGCAACTAATGACTTTCATCCACTCACCTCATCACAAAAATTTTGACACTAAATCTTGAAAATGGACCCAGCTCCTATTTTTGGGCTTCCTTCTGTTAGGGGTCAGCACCATGGTTAGAGACAGCAGCATAGCTAGGAACTAGTTCACTACTAGAACAAGTTGTTCTGCATTAAGATATAATGGGGACTTTGGGTTCACAGAGGAACAGAAATCTAGAGTTAGAAAAGAACCCAGAAACTTCCAATGTCTTCCAAGTCCAACATTTTACAGATACAAAAACTGTGCCTGAAGAAGATAGAATGACTTGCCCATCATAACCTAGGTAATAATCATTAGAGGTGGTATTTATACTCAGGTCACCAAACTCAGAAGCTCATAGACCTAGAGACTGGAGAGTACATATAAATCATCAAACCCCTCATTTTACAGATGAAGAAACTGAGGCCAGGACAGTGAAGTGATTTACTTAAGATCAATAGTAACCATCAGAAGTGGGATTTGAACCCAGGTCCCTCATTCCACTGTACCTGTGGGTGGATCATGAGGGGTTGGCAAAAGAAAAAGATTCAGTGTTATATAGAAAGCATCATCATCCCAGAGACAAAGATGGAATGCCAAAATTCCAGGATAGCTCCATAACTCAATCAAATGAGAAAGAGGGAGAGGAGATCTGGGTAGACCTAGGTAAGATCTCACCCCCAACAAGAGGAGGACAGGGATCAATGAGCCATCAAAAAGCCTCACCTTTAGACTAGGCATCCAGATAGTGTTCGTTTTCTATCATTCTTCTTACTTCAGTGTAGACACACATAGGCACATGCCTCCACAATAGGGCTTCAGGGAGGCAAAAGAAGACCAGAGGTTTTATAAGGAGGGACAAAGGGGAGTATCCCTCAGGCTCACCATCTTGGTTCCCCATCTCAGAGGGCACAGGCAAGTGGGTACCAATTAGCAATGAGCAAGGAGAGGGTATTGCAAAAAAACAAATTAAAGGCTACCATCCAGGACAAGGGATAGGCAGGAGCAAAAATAGTCTACACTCAGACATTGTGACTTGCCCAGGGTCACACAGCTAGTAGGTGTCAAGTGCTTGGTCTGAGGCCGGATTTGAACTCAGGTCCCCCTGACTTCAGGGCTGGTGCTCTATCCACTGCACCACCTAGCTGCCCCTACACTCAGACATTGCAAAAAGATCCTAGGACCAGTTAACTGGAGGTGTTTTGTTCTAGTTTTTCTTTTTTCTAGACAACTACTCTAAATTCTAGTTCTAAATTCTAAGGCATTTGGGGGTATGTTCAAGAGCCTCAGGCATGCCATGCTGGGCACACAGTGGGGCCTTCCTGAGTTTACTGCTCTGCTTTTGCTGGGGAGAGAGGTCTCACCTAGGTTTTTCTTGTTAAAAGACTGAAGCACTTTGGAGAATGGCGGTAATTATTATAACATTAAAACAAAGCACCGAAAGCTTATTGCTTTTGAGGGATCACTAACTATCTTTGTCTAATTAGTTGGCACCAATTAACACTAGGGTAGCATGGCATAGTGGAATTAGCTTTGGACTTTGAGCGAGAAGGACTAGGTGCAAGTCTAAGCCTCACTGCCTACTAGCTTTGTGACCTCGGACAAGTAACTTCATCCCATCTCAACCTCATTTGAGAAATGGGGACAAGAAGCTGAGAGCTGACCTGAGGTCAAACACCTTTGGGCCTCAGTAATGAAAGCCCTCTTATTTTGCAGATAAGCTGAAGCCCAGAGAGAATGACCTACTGGCCCAAAGTCACCCAGCTGGTTATTTGAGGAGCTGGTGCTTGAACATACATCAGCCAATTCCTCATTTGGTGATGTTGCTACTGCCCCATCCTACTTACCAAAAGGGCTTCAGTGCTTGATAGTAACATAAGACATTATTGCTAGTCGACTTACTATCAAATATGGATCCTTTCTCACAGTCTTCTGGAAATGACAACAAAAGGAGCATGTGTGCTATTAAGGTGTAGGAAAGAAAGTGACAGATGAAGAGTCAGAAGGTACTTACTAGGTCTGAGTCCTGACTCAGTCACCCACTCACCAGAGACCTTTATGAGTAATTATCCCTCTGTTAGCCTAAGGTATCCCTTCCTTATGATGAGGGCTGGGACATGATGATCTCCAAGTTCCCTCCCAGCTCAGGCATTCTCTGTTCTAAGACCTCTCCCTTTCCCCTACCCAAGTCCTGACATTCTCTCTTGTAAGATTCCTTCCCTGCTCTGACATTACCTGTTCTAAGGTCCCTCCCTCTTCTGACATTCTCTGTTCTAAGGCCCCTTCTTGCTCTGATATTCATTGGCTAAGTTATTATCCATCCCCAGTCCCCTAAATCCTTAACTCTATGGAATCACCTCTTTTTCCATGAACATGCTAATTTTGAGGATGGAATTGAGCTATACTTTCTCTAAATTCCCCATCCAGACTTGGCTATATAGCATATATTTCATATATGTATATAATTATTTCTGGAAGACATGGGAAGTTGCTCTGGAAAAATAGGAGTACATTAATATGACAGTGTAATCCAAAGAACAGGATTAGATCAGCTGACCTGTTTCTGTCATGTTTAATGTCTCATTTGATCATCACAGCATAGATGTGGAATATTGAAAAGGATCTCACTTTGGTATTCAAGGACCTGGATTCAAATCTTGACTCTGTTATTTATTTTATCCAAAACATTCAGCCTCATCTTTAATTCTTGCTTTTGGGTTTGGGTAAATTAGCCTGAAGTCCATTGTATAAATGCTATGTTAGACTGTAAACTCCAACAGAGCAAACAACATGCTTTACTGGAGTCACACAGTCTGGGTGAGAATCTCATCTGAGTTATTTTATAGTAGTTTGACTTTGGACAAATCACATCCCTTTTAATACTTCAATAGATGGTTGATTTCAAAGTTAGAGAGGGACCTTAGATCACATAGTACAACCTCCAAATGGCATACCTGAGGGAATCGAAACACAGAAAAGATAAGCCATTTCCCAAAGTCACACAATTAATGAGTAGCAGCTTTAAGATTTGAATTCAATCTGTGTAGCTGCAAGTCTAGTGTTCTTTCCACAACATGGCACTTATTCTGTGAGTTGTGACCCTCAAAAACTCCCTACCCAATTTTTTTTTAACCAGAAGGTTAACCCTTTGCTATTGATCCACTCCAACCTTGACTGGGCTAAACCTCAAGCAAGAGACAAGTATCCCATCCATGGGCCTATTTCTAGGTTGGTGAGCGCCTTATTTTCCCCTGACATGGCCTTTGAGAACCCAGGATCATCTATATGCCAAGGAGAGGAATTAGCATTTTAGTAGAATAATAGGAATTTTCTGATTACGGCAAACCACTCTAGCATCTTTGCCAAGAAAATCCCAAATGGAGTCACGAAGAGTTGGACGTGACTGAAACAACTGAACAAGAGGAATTTGAGTTGGAATCCACAAACGTTTGTTCAATACTGTCCATGTGTCAGCCATTATGATAAACACAGGAGATACATGAACATGAAAAGTGATTGTGATTCCTAAGTATGGTAGAAATTCTCTATGTGTAAATTTGTTCAGCCAACATAGATCTCAATCCATCTATGACTTGGCATATGTATTCTATGGAGTTATCTGAGGCACACAGAGATTATATGACTTGATAAGGTTATATCTGATATGTCTGAACCTGGGCCTTCCTAACGCCATGCCCAGAATTTTATTCTCTATCACATTTCCTAAATGCTAAGGATACAAATTTAAAAAAAATATTCTCTGACTTCAAGGAACTTTCCTTTTACTTATGTTAGGGAGTAGGATAGGGAAATACAACATAAGTAAATGAAATAAATTCCTTAACAGCACAATTAAAATTATACCTCTTTTCTCCCATTTAATACAACCTTTACCAATAGACCAGATTAGAACTTTAAATAAAATAGCAAAGCATTTAATTGAGACAGAATAGCTATGTATACAGTAGGAGAAACTCATTTAATGGATTCTTTCTCAAATCTTCATGCTCCTAGTATATGAACATTCCTAAGTCTCCAAGCTTCTGCCTCCTAAAACCTAATGCTATGGCCTGTCAGGAGAGTGTGCTGATAAATGTTTAACAAGCAGATCTTTAGACAAAAAAAGTACACTCAACACACTTTTCTGTTTAAAATTAAATATTAGTGTTTTCCCATCAGTTTAGACAATCAACAAAGCAATAAATTGAGCCCTGATTTGTGGTGTTTGCTAATTTCCAAGGTATAAATGCTCACACTAAAATTTAGCCACTGGTTCTCCCAAGCTGGTTTGAGCTGTCTCCAGCACTGCTCTGGGAGGACACTGATACTTTGTGGCTCTGCCCCTCATATCTCCTCCCATTGAGGCTAAGAACCTGGCCATTCTCTTGCCTCACTGTTGTAACTAATATCTATTTTAACTGCTCTCTGCTGTTATTCTCTCCTGAGAGTCTCCTCTGTTATGCTGCTACGCTGTTGGCTTCTTAGGTCTAATTCATGAAGGCTCTCCTCTCTTCCTACTTCAGGAAAGTGTTATCCATCTTTGAGAGTGAGAATTCCCAGGACGTGTATCTTTGGCTAGTCAACCCATCTTCAACAATGTTGTAAAATAATCCCACAGCCACCATTTCTTAAGAGTTCACTCTTTCTTACAGATAAACCACATGCACACAGACATACACAACCTACTCAGACATTTGGAATACTTCTTTGACTCATATCTACCCATGGAAGATCCTAAGTCCTTACACCTAGCTGAGTTAAAATGAGTGAATGTCAGTTTCGTCTTCCCTGCACACAACACACATATACATGTACACAGAACTTAATACTTCTTACTAAGTTTCTTTAAGATTTTAAGAAGATAAACACTCAAAATCTTTGAACTCTTATCATGCTTTTGTGATGACCATTGTCTAGCCAGAAAAATGACTCTCAAATTCTTATAAGCATTCAGGAATTATGAGGAAATAATGGGGGAGTAAAAAGGCTGATGATATCAGCTAACTTTTATATAGCTAAGTGCTTTATAATCCTGGGAGAAAGGTACAATTATTATCCCCATTTTACAGATGAGGAGCCCAAGGCAACCAAGGTTAAGTGACTTCGCCATGGTCACATAGCCAGTGTATGAGGCCAGATTTGAACCAAAGCCTTCTTGACTCTAGCCCCAACACTCTATCTACTGCATGAAAGGATACCCTGGTGATGGACAAGGATACCCTGGCACCCAAGTTGTAAAGATCCCACCCCCTATTACATGTAATTCAAGAAAAATTGTAGAAGGATCAATTACTGGTGACTCAGGAAACCAGGAAAAGCTTCAGAAAGGAAGAGGAGAGTTTGAAGTAGCTCAGCCTCTTTCATTTTACAGTGAAAACAGGTGAAGCCCATGATGGAGAAATGGTTTATGCATTGATCATTCACATTGTAAGCAGCCAAGCCAAATTTTAAACCTAGGTCTAATTGTTCCAGATCTAGGACTTTTTCTGGCCTGTCATGCTATCCTTCCTACAAGGCTGAAAAGAATGAAACCATAAAGATAGAATCCCAGACATTGCAGCAGCCCAGTAGAGGAGTTATTTTGGGGGCTGTTAGAGACAGTGTGGTATGATGGATAGCAAGCTGGACTCAGAGCCAGGCAAGCTTGGGGTCAAGTCCTAATTCCAACACATACTTGCTCTGACACCCCAAGGCATGTTGACTTAACTTTTCAGTGCTTGAAGTCAATTTCTAAGATAAGAAGTTGCCAAGAAGGTGTTAACCTGTATTGGTAGAGGGAGCTTCTTCCTCTGGGAGTTTCCAGTGCCAAAGAAAT